TCAGCGGAGCAACCACTAAATATTTTGTTTTTCACAAGAATTTCTGTAAAAACTCTCCCTCACCTTAATCATAGAATCACTGTTAGGAAACTGCCACTATACAGGCGACAAAAATCCTAGTAGACAGTAAAGTGATCGTTTTCTGAACTTTTTGTGACAGTCGTAGCTGCATGAAATGTTTTTTTTATGTTTTCCTGCAGAGCCCGGTAGCAGGGATTGGAAGCTGAGGCGTATCATTCCTGCCCTATCTTATTCCACTGTGCTAAGTTATTTATACATCATGTGTCATTGTGTGGAATCCATGTGTGAATGTTTAGTTAACACCAATGTAGGACTCCAGGTCCTCGCTGACACTTCATTAGCAGCTAATTACATTAAAGCTATTTCAGCAGCCCGGACAGTGGATGAACACCTTATTTTCTGGTTAATTACACTGAATACCAGTAGATAAGAGTTGGTATCTGTAACCCTGCTGTTGTACTACCCTATGATGCAGTATCATCAGACAGATGGATGATTACCAATTAAATACTAATTACCAATAGTTTACGTAGGGCTTTGACAATGAAAAGTAAAACTTTGATTGATATATACAGTAGATGATGTAAAAGCTGCAGTAAGAGCATTTCAATCTTTCTCCATCTTAGTCATGACTCAGTCAATCCCCAACATAGAGACATCATACACATCAGCTAGAATCAGCACAGTCTCACAACTCCATGGCAACATTTATCTAACATTTATTTATGTAAATGTTCACTATCAGTACAGGTTTAACAGCTCTAAAGCTCAGGACACACTATTCTATCCATTCATACGCAGATATCTGTGGTGGGTTGAGAGCCCCAGAACATGTATAATCCCAAAATCAGTTCCCAGCCTTTTTCCTTAAAGTGTGTAACATTTAGGAGGATCTATTGTCAGAAATGGAATATAATATGAATAACTATGTTTTCATTAGTGTTTAATCACCTGATTGCAACAAGTTCAACATATGAACTGAACAGATGATGTGTCAATGTTGTGTGGCCAAAAAAATCAGCTACTGCAGGTTTGAGCAAGTTAAGGTGATTTTCGGAAATTTTAGCAAAGTAAAAAATGAGTACCACCCCCATTAACTAATTTCCTGTGGATTGTCAGTGTGGATCAAGAGTCTGGATCACACTGTCATCTCTTCCACTTGTAGTCAGTGCTCGGTGCTGTGGCAATAACTGGTACTCCAGCAACCGAGAGCCATGGAGAGCACACACTCAGAGAGAGCATTGTGTTTGGCGTGAGGGTGTTGTGATGACGATGTGCTGTGACAGCACTGAGCAGGCCTGTCTGAAGCTCTGAGGGCCACCCGCAGACACACACACACACACACACACAAACAACCCATGAGTCAAGAGAGGAAAGGGAGAGACAGTGAACCGAAAGAGCGTGTTGATGAAGGCAGCGCCCCACGTGTCATCCTGAGAGAGAGGCTGCACTTCTTTACCACTTCACACACATTTCGCACAGTTCTCTTTACCGACATGCAGCTCAGCACAGCAGTTAATCTAACATCCAGAATGCATTAATGCAAACAAAACTCTTACATACATTTCAGCTTTAGCTCTTGTACCAGACAACATTTGTCTCCCAACAAGAAAACCTTTGTCACTCAGAGCACAGTGGCTTTAAAAAAAAAACTAAGATTACGATATGTTTCACTCTTATCTTTTAAGTGTGTTATTTATTTTTTATTACTGGAAATATAAGGATGGTGGGTCCACAGGGGCCAGCGCACATCTAGCCGCCAGGGTTGGGATCATACATTGAAAATATTAGGGACAGCTGTTTAACTTTTATGAATTCCTCCTTTCCCTCTCACATCTACCAACATCAACACAGTTCATACACTAATAAAAACATACCTATGAATATTACATTCCATTTCTGCCAATAGATCCTCTTGTTACGACCTTTAAGGATACATACATACATACACACATAC